GAGAGGGCTGCTGTGCCCTGGCCGGGGATTGGACTCAGGCTGTAGCAGTGATGGCACCGAGACTTGACCCAACTTTGGGGTCTGATGAGAACAAATAAACTCGACCAGATGCTCAACTGCAGTTGACAGTTGGCAGACGATTGCCAGCCCAGCCGAGGGCCCAGCCTGCGGCTCACCCAGTGCAGAGGTGTGCTCTGCTCCCCTGCTCTTTGGGAGTCTGTGAAATCTGTCTTCCTGTTGTACCGACACGCTGTTGTCAAGTGGCAGGACTTACAGAATCGTAAGTCCTTGCTGTCTGAATTCTCTGCTGTCTGTTTGTCCCGGACAGTTTGGCGTTGCTGGGAACATCTTAGAAGCCATGTGGCCTTGGGCCTGGTGGCCCTCGGTGAGCACCAGCACAGGCCTTTGCGCTGGTCATCCCTGGGCTCCTGGTGGTCTGTCCACCTTCCTGCCGTTCTGGAGCTTCCAGAGCCTGTCTGCTCCGTGCCGCCGCATGGACACTGGTCGCTGCCAGCCGGCACACACCTGTTCTCGGGGTTGTTGATTCCAGGCTAAGGAAAGCCTCTGCTTTCTTCTGTGGGGCTCCAGGATGCCCGCCTGGCCAGGGGCCCCACTGGAGGTGCTCTGGGCCTTCTCTGGAGCCCAGGTCCGCTGAGCCGTGACTGGTACCGGGCTCCCTCCTCCCTGGAGAGCCTGGGGCTGGGAAACCAGAGCGCAGGGCAGGGCGGGCTTAGTCCCGCGTTGCTGCCTGAGCGTTTGATCCTGCAGCCACGCTGACGTGCCAGCCGGAGCGTGGAGCTGGCGGTGGGAGAGCCGCCTTACTGAAATAGCGTGTTCGCATTTAAACAATATTAATACAATTTGACTCATTAAATATACAAAGGCCAGTCGGAGTGCTTCCATGTGTGCGCGCTCGGTCTGGCAGCGGCTCCTCAGACGGCTTTATGTGGTTTCAGACAACATTTTAGCACATTCTTAAAATACCCACAAAAGCCTTTATGTAAAAACTCATAAATGTAAACCACATAAAAATTATTTTTTTCCTGTTTCATGTCATTATGATCAAAGTACAGTAGGTAAGAATACATTTTCAAGAATGTGTTGAGGTCTCTTTTTTTTTTTAAAGATTTATTTATTCATACAGAACTGGGGTACAGGCCAGAGATGCGGAGGGTGAGAGGCTTCACCAGAGACAGAGTGGGGAGCAGAACAGGCAGATCGACGAAGTACACTGCTGAGGGGAGCAGCGGGCGGGTCAGGAGCGGTCTGCCGGGCCATGTGGTCACCTCCGGGGCAGGCGGGAATCGAACTCGTGCGGAAGTGGCGTAAGCTTCTTAGTGCTGGGCTTTAACCCGCTGCACCACCAGGGAGGGCCGAGGTCCCTCTTTAATGAACATTTCATGCACGGCGCAAAGCCATAAACCATGTAACGGTGGGAGGGGGCACGGACCGGGTGCCCCCCGGTCCCCTTGCCGCTGGCTGGGCATGCGAGCCCTGAGGCACCTGCTGGGGAGGCGGGGTGCGGTGGTTCTGGAGTGGCCCTCTGGTCGCTCGGCCTGTCCCCTCGGAGCACCAGGCTGAGATCTGGGCCCTCGGGCTCTGCGGTCCTTCGCGGTGACTGGAATGCAAGCCCCTTTCTGCCACCGTGGTGGTGCCGGGGCCCCGTGGAGGACCAAGGTTCAGCGCCTCTGCCTCACCTGCGGGCAGAGGGCGCAGACTGGCGAGACCAGCGGCGTGGTCTCCGACTGCGTGGCCCTTGTTTTCTTCAGCAGAATGCAAACCAACTGAGTCGGGATGTTCTCCAGGGAAACGCTGCCCAGCCTTTAAGCACAGTGGCGGCCACGGCCCCTTGAAAAGGTGCAGGCGGGTCTGTGCCACGTGGAAGGGCCGAGCTCGGTGGGCCCCAGTGCTGTGTTTATGGTTCTATGAAAAGTATGCATCTGGACAGAGACTGAAGGGAAAAGTCAGGGTTATGGGACAAGCTGATTTATGGTATTGTGGGCTAATTTTAAAATTTCCCCTTTTTATAACATCCTTGCAATAAATCTTTTAATTTTGGAGGAAAGAGCAGTAACCCCCATGAAAGTCAGAATTGAGATGGCATTTTTACCTCATTTGTGTCCAGCATTTTAAACCATTGGGCCTGGCCAGTGTGGCCCACGAGGGAGAAGCTGCCCAGAGCGGGAGCCAGGCCACAGGAGTGGGACAGCTTTAATGACACCAGCCATAGCAGCAGGCCGCC